AGCCGAGTCTAAGCCCATTCCTTGAAGTTTGCTGGGACTCCTTATTGAATACCCGAAGTATTGGGAGCATAAGCTTTTGTGGGTAAGAACCTCACTTCTTCATCTGAAGAAGTGAGGTTCTTACCCACGAAAGCTTATGCTCCCAATACTTCTGTTAGTCTCAAGGGTGCCACAGGACCTTCTGTTACCATTATTGTTGAAATTCACCAAACCAAGGAGATTGGAAGGCACTTCAGAAGACAGATAACAATGGTAAATGTAAAACCTTTCAGCCCTGAAAAGTTAATCTATATGGAGATATACTTATCTCACAGAACTGGAAGGGACCCTGAAAGGTCATTGAATCCAGCCCCCTGCCTTCACTAGCAGGATGAAATACTGATTTTGACCCAGATCCCAAAGTGGCCCCCTCAAGGATTGAACTCGCAACCCTGGGTTTAGTAGGCCCATGCTCAAACCACTGAGCTATCCCTCCCCCCAAGTTAACTGCTTGACCAAGTGAAAATCAGGATCCTAAACAATTTGCTGTTGAACAGAGGTATAGTGAAGATTTTAAGACATATGCTGACTTTGAGGAGAAAGGGTCACACTGTTCATGAAACAAAATGTATATTATTAAACAACCCTACAATGTTGTGGGGGCAGGGGTAACAGCTGCTAGAACTCACATTTTATCCTCTGTCTTGTGCAGTAGCTTTTTCTTCATGATTTTCTGAGCAGAGTGCAGACTACTTGCCTCCCTTGTTTTAAATTTAAAAGCGGAGCTAAGACCATTACTTGCAATTTAGCTGGTTTTGCCGTTTCAATTCCCACTCAAAATGGCACACTGAATTAAAAAAAAAAAAGGGCAACAAAAGCAGACCAGAAAACTTACTCTGTACTGATGGGATCAGCCTGCTTTCAACAGTGACAGCTGGCCGCAGAGTTAAAATGTGACACCAAGGGATGTCTTCAAGGAGAGGCAGGTTTGTCTGTCCCATTTCCTGGCACAAACGCCTTGTCAGCAAAGCAAGTTCTGCAGCATCTGCCCTGTGACAACAAAAATGTCATGAACGAGTGGCTTGTACAGCAATGAAAACATAAAATCCACAGAGTGTTCAGGTCACCTGTGGAACATTTTCTAGAGCAAGGCTAGCGATTTCAAATGACACCCATGTTTGTCTATGTAGAGGTGTTATTTTGGCCACCAGAGGGAGCGTCTCTAGTCTTGTATAAAAATAAAAGCATCTTGAAAAAGGTTAGAAGAATTAATAAAAAATTTGAAAGAAAGGCTTCGAAACTAGTGTGATCAGTCAGTCTGTTCCCTCATTCATGCCATGATTAATAGAAAAACACAATCTGAGAAAGTCAGACATAATTTAGTTCGTATTATTTATGACAGTTAAATAGAATTCCTGACAGTAATTTAGCCCTGTTTTGTTCCTTTATTGAACAGTGAGAAGATGAAAAATTTCCCTCCAAAGCCACCCTTTTTTTGGCCCCCCGCTAGCAGGGACCTATTAAAATATATGATGGCAGATGATACCAGTATGCGTCAGTTTGTTCCTAAACACAAAAAGAAAAGTACAGCCCATTTTTGTCACTGGGGTCCCCCACATTCAGCCTAAGTTTCCATCAGATACAGAAGGCAGGATTCAGGGGGTTGGAGCCATTCATGTGCAGAACAGCTCACCTATAGGGGGGGCTCTTTACTTGTTCCCACATTGTAGGGCAGGGGTAGGCAACCTATGGCACGCGTGCCGACGGCGGCACATGAGCTGATTTTCAGTGGCACTCACACTGCCCGGGTCCTGGCCACCAGTCCGGGGGGCTCTGCATTTTAATTTAATTTTAAATGAAGCTTCTTAAACATTTTAAAAACTTTATTTACTTTACATACAACAATAGTTTAGTTATATATTATAGACGTATAGAAAGCGACCTTCTAAAAACGTTAAAATGTATTACTGGCACGTGAAACCTTAAATTAGAGTGAATAAATAAAGACTCGGCACACCACTTCTGAAAGGTTGCCGACCCCTGTTGTAGGGCTTAGGGGGACAGGTATGTCTGTCTATTTTATAAGGTCTTCATTATTGTAGTGTCTGAGTGCCCCACAAATTTTTAATATACCTATTCTCACAACATCCCATGAGGAGGAAATATTATTATCCCCATTTTGCAGTTTGGGGATGTGGGTCCCAGACTAACTTGCCCAGGTCCGCACAGGAAGTCTGTAGGTGAGCAGAAAACAAACCTGCATCCTCCTGAGTCACAGGCTAGTAGCCTAACCACTGGACCATCCTTCCTTTAAGGTCAGGAGTAAGTTGGGGAAAGTGTACTCATCCACACACCAATCCACCAGCTTCTGAGCAGAGGCAGGGAAGTGGCTACAGCAGCTTCCATCCTTATCCCATTTCAGGCTGCTGGAAGAGGAGCAGGTGAGGGAGGCTCACTCCAGCCATTGCTTAGGATTTTGCTGCAGGGCCAGTTAGGAGAAGATTGACGTCTTAATACATGCAAATAATTTGTTAGCAAGAGAAATGATGAAAACATGTAAAAGGCAAAAGCATCTAAATGGTGTGATTAGTCCCATTTCTTCCCTTGTTCAAAAGACGCTCTCTAAAATTAACTCTGAGTAACAGGGGAGCAACCCTAAAAACAAGGGCTAATAATGAAACTTTAAGGTTGAGAACTCAGGCACTCAGGTCAGGAAATGCAAGATTGAAATTCAAAGCTCAGCCTTAACTCTGCTCTCTTGTGTTTACATTTATGCCTCTTATTTTATGTCATTATACATTTTTCTATCAATCAATACAAAATATATAAGCTGGAATTTCTTATATCCCCTTACCTGCAGTAAGTTAAAATCCAGTACATACTTTCTTCCCACTTGGCTTGAATTTTAAGTCCAAAAGAATGTACATGGTGCACATGGCTGTGTATGTGTGAGCTAAGGAAGCCAGTATCCATTCAGCACCTGGTTCTGTGGACAGAGGACTCTATTTCCCAGTGCCAGCAATCTGGCACTTTTCACAAGCACTTAATCCACTTTTAAAAGGCTGAAGAACTGTTAAGAGGCAGAATAGTCTAGTGGGCAGGACACTATACTGGGTGTCAGGTAACCTAAGTTCTAGTCTTAGCTCTATCAGGGCTACACTCCGATACAAAACTCATGACACTGAATCTTGCAGCTGGCTCAGACTGCGGGTTTAAAAATAGCAGTGTAGACATTCGAGCCTGTGCTCTGAGACCCTCCCCCAGCTGTGGCCATGCCACGGGCCTTTTATTGCAGTGTAGACATAGCCTGTGTGACCATGAGCAAGGCATTTCCCTTCCCTGTGCCTCAGATCCCCTCCCACCCTTTGTCTATTTAGACTGTAAACTCTTTGGAGCAGGGACTGTCTGGCCCCCATCTCTTAATTAATATTAACAATATAATAATAAACAGACTATAGTTGTATAAAAACTAGTGACCACTGTTGTGTGTATTGACTGTGGGATGTAGTAACCAGCACTTACACTTTATAACAGCTTGCTTGTAAGACCGATTTTACTGTCCTCTTTCTGTGAAAATCATATTCCATGGTAGATCAGGTTTCAGTGGATGCAGTTCACTTACACAGACATGTCAGAAACAGACGCACACTATCCTCTTTTGCTCCCTGTTCACCTGTAACATAAGAGATTGTTAGCCATGAAACTCCATTCCACCTGGGCATTTACTTGCAGTGCATTAAGTGGAAGAATTAAATGTAAACAAATGGAAAACCTGCTCCAGGAATTAACAGAGTTGTATTTGTCAGTCTTGCCTGCAGTTTTTGGATTATTTGATTCTGAAGAGATCAAAAAGAGTAGAATGAACAAAGTCTCCAACCCCTGTTTCAATTTTACTCTTACCATTTCTATGCACATAAAGGAAAACCTGCCATTTGGCCCTGATCCAAAGCCAACTGAAGTCAATGGGAGTCCATTCCATTGAATCATAGAATCATAGAATATCAGGGTTGGAAGGGAACTCAGGAGGTCATCTAGTCCAACCCCCTGCTCAAAGCAGGACCAATCCCCAACTAAATCATCCCAGCCAGGGATTTGTCAAGCCGGGCCTTAAAAACCTCCAAGGAAAGGAGATTCTACCACCTCCCTAGGTAACCCATTCCAGTGCTTCACCACCCTCCTAGTGAAAAAGTTTTTCCTAATATCCAACCTAAACCTCCCCCACTGCAACTTGAGACCATTACTCCTTGTAAATAGTTAATAAAAATAAGGCTGCATGGCCCTGCTGCAACTGCATTTGAACTTCCCACTGAGTAAACTGCTAATGCAGCTAACGGATCCCTCTTCAGTATGACACCACCAGCTACCTGTTTTGTCTCTTTGCAATGAATTTTTGTGTTTGTTGCTTACTCACACACTAATCCACAAATAGAGCACCACAAAGGCAGTGTTGTTCCTGATCCTGGAGCCTCCTTTGGTTTACTTTAGAGGATGCATTTCACTCCAAGCCTTAGGGAAATGTAAGGCAACCACATGCCAGCACACACACGGATCCCTGACATCTCTTTTGCTGATGTAATAATGGGCTTTGTGGAGCGTCACCAGGCAACACTTTCATTGATAGACAGAGAGAGGCAGTCAGTGACTGAGACCAGCTTGAATGGCTGTGTCTAGGACCTCCCCATGCTGCAACCAGAAGGGAGGGAGAGAATGGGAGCAGCCTCCCTGTGGTCAAGCTCTCGAAGCTTTGGAGAATAAGTGTCAAGTAAATTCATAGTGTTCTTGGGTTTTCTTTGCTAATGCTTTTCTCGGCCCTGCTTGTGACTCAGGAACACAGACTATCCCTTGTACACTTAAAAAGGTCAATTAGTTTTAAAACGGAATAGCCCAGAACAGCGCGTATATATTAAATACCACAGGCAAAATTTTCAAAACCAACCAGCATAAATCCAATGTTTGCATGCAAACAAGCATTAGAAGTAGTTTTGCCTGTACAGGTGCAACTGATCCCAAGAGGGGAGAAGTGCCAGAGATTCTATGAAGGCCACTAGGGATTTTGCAATTGCTATTGATTTTATGTAGCAGGTGCGCATATACTATGGTGATGGGTGGCTGTATAAAATCTTTAGTTTAGATAGATATAGGTAGGATAAGGATTTGCAAACACATGGTTTTATGGTCAACTTCGGAACTCTCATATTTAGTTTCTCGTTTAGTTACTACAGTTGCTAAACTGGCTACTTGTCAAGCTTTGAGGCTTCCACACTGTGGCACTGTCTAACTAAAATATAATGGTGCAGATCATTGTTGCTACTACTGTTGTATAATTGCAATGGATCTTATACAAAGTGTGACACATGGCCAGAAAGTGTTAAGCAGCTTGCAGGCTAAATAACCCAAAGGCAACCTTTAGAGACATGTTAGAAAGTATCTGAATGGTATTTAGGGCCATTTCATGCTAGATAGGCTAGAACTTTGAAGTGCAAACCTGTGTTGTTAGAGAATTAGAGGTGATACTAATTGTGTGTGTTTACTTATATCTTAGATGCTAGCCATGTAAACAGACAGTTCCTGTCTGTCACTATAGCTATTGATTCAGAGATCAAAAGGGAATGTTAACATTTAGATGAATTTTGGGTGCAATAATGTCATTGTCTATATGTCTCTTTAAAGTTTGTGATAAACTGCCTAATGGATAAATTATCTTATATTAATCCATATAACTAATTACCAGTGAGGTTTAGGAAACAGAAGGTTACATCAAAAGCCTATTGTTCACCCAGGACTGTATGTCAAGTGGCTGCTAGAAAACTGTATAAAAGACCTTGGGTCCTGATCCTGTCATCTCAGACCTGCTTGATGCTTCATGCAGGCGAAGCTTAAGTCGTAAGGCTGAGATCCCAGTTCTAAGCTTGAATATGAAAATTGGTTTATAACTCACGGATAAATTATGAAAGAACTTTTTGCAACTTCAGAGCTCACCATCTCTGCTCTGAATCGGAATCTCAAGAATTGTACTCATGTCTGTATGTATACTGATCTTTTAACCAATTCTCTTTTCTTTTTCAATAAATTTTAGTTTAATTAATAAGAATTGGCTGTAAATGTGTATTTGGATAAGATCTGGAATATCCATTGACCTGGAAGGTAATGTGTCTGATCCTTTGGAATTGGTAGAACTTTTTTATATGATGAATAAGATTTCCAGTAATCCTCATCATATTTGACTTGGGTGTCTGGGTGGAGGCCTGAGACTGGGTTACTTTATGGGAACTGTGTTGTTGGCTTCTGGGTAACCAGTGAGGTATTATAGAAGCTATTTTGTGCTGGCTTGCTAAATCTAAGTATTGGAATATCCACCAGCTTTGGGGATTGTTGGCCTCATTCTTTGCAGTTCACCCTAATTGAGTGACCTCAGTGGGCTCCCCTGGGACCCCAGTGACACATACTCACTGCAAACTTTGTGATGCCAAGAGCTGCACTGTCAGTTTGTCAGGCGCTAAAAGGATGTATCTACTGTGTCTGGAAATCCCATAGAAATGTACAGCACCATATAAGTGTTGCAATTTCAAACTGGGTGTGGTCATGCCAACAGGCAAATGGGCAAACCAAATGGACATTGAAGAGCACAAAATGGCCATTTGTGTATGTGTGATTCCCTCACTTGCATACTCAGCTATACAAATGCATCATTATTAAATATTTGTATTGTGGTAGTGCTTAAAGACCATCAAATCAGGGAGCGGGTTTGTGCTAAGTACTGTATACAACACACAGTAAGGGACACTATTTTCCCTGAAGAGTTTACAGGCTAATGCTACGTCTACATTCGGAGCTAGGGGTGTGATTCCCAGCTCACGGAGACATACTCGCGCTAGCTGGCATTCAGTAAGCACGCTAAAAACAGAAGTGTAGCCATGGTAGCAAGGCTAGTAGTGAGCCAGAGCACTGGCTAGCTGCACCAAGTACAAACTCTCCTGGACTCTGTTGATACATAATCCGGGCAGCTAGCAAGTGCCACCGCTGCCCGTGCTACAGCTGCCACACGCCTATATTTAGTGCACCAGCTTGATGAAAGGTAGCATGAGTATGGCTAATCAAGCTGGGAATCACAGCCTCAGCTCCAATTGCAGATGAAGCCTAACTTGGGTGTGTCCTGTAGGTGCTGATTTTGAAAAACACAGCCCAAATTATCTCATGAGAACTCCAGAAGGACTTAACATAACTGAGTAAACAGACAACGCAACGGCAATTCAAGTAAGCACAGACAAGTATAAAGCAGTTTTACATACACCAGGAGTGTAGTGAAATATAATATTTGAACCCCCGAATGGGTTGTTAGACCAGTGCTAATTCTCAGGAGGGACTATGAAGACATTTACCACAGCAGCACTGGAAAATGTGAATGGCATGCCAGCTAAAGAAAATATTTCTCCGACACTCACTCTTTTCTCATAGCCAGACACCTCACTGTCTCTGTTCCAGTGGTAATTCAAAACATTCAGCTCAGTGCTAGAATTTAGCTCAATACCTAATTTACAGATTTAAAACAAAGAACATACAATGTTTCTTTTGGCATTTCACTACAAAGGATACCGATGGGAATCAACTCTAATTACATTCAGTTCAGTTGCCAGAGCGCTTGCAAATAGAATTCTTGTCTTGAGGGCCAAGTACTGCCCTCAGTCTCTCCATGTGCAGAGCCTCCTAGTGCCATACAGCTCTGGAAATGCTTTGTTCCCAGAGATCAATCCTTGATGAAAGCAGAGCGTGTGATGAAATCTGCCTGGCAGAAGCCTCTCTCAAAATAAAATGAGTTTACCAAAGGTCATGCACATGATGGTATTTTCATTGTTAGTGCAGGAAAGTAAGCAGCAAACACAAGCACTACTTCCACCCAGTGGTACTTTGGATTACAGCACTTTACACTAACAGAAAAAGACTTGGGGACTATCTAAACACAAAAAATGTACAATGTTAACTATCCCGGGATAATTAAAATGGTATAATCCTGCTGAGTGACTGCAGTTATATCAGTATAAAGGTGCCTTATACAGGAATAGCTTATTCCCATACGGATTCACTCCAGATACTTCAAGTAGCCCATAAGGCAGTGGTGGGCAACCTGCGGCACGTCAGGGTAATCCGCTGGTGAGACGCGAGACAGTTTGTTTACATTGACCGTCCGCAGGCAGGGCCAGCCACAGCTCCCATTCTGCAGGAAAATACAAGGGAAGATGAAGTAGTGTGCAACAGGAGTTACAAAATAAAGCAACTGAATACAGGAAATAAGAAATTGTACACTAGTCTCTAACAGAAAAGATAGGAAGCGTGACAGTTCATATGGGCAAAGTTCAAGAGAAGAAAAACAGAATATTTTATCAGTTGATTTAAATGGCAAAAACTTTCCATTACATCAAAGATTTTCATCTCTGTGGGATTCCATTTTTGGCCAAAAAGGAAACCAGGAAGCCATTTTTCTCCTGCAGTCTTATTAATCATGAAACAAACCAAAACAATATTCCAACAAAGCTATTGAAGTGGTATGAGGTTTAAGATTAGGCAAAAATATGATTAAAAGGTTTATTACTGTCATTGAATATTATGGTAATAATGGCACATATACATTTTATAGTAAATTTATAAAGGGCCTCCTTTTTGTGTATACAAATTTTG